TTGATCTTTCAGTTAATTGTAACTATCAAGTATAGATCTGACCACAAAATTTGATTGTTCTGATTTAGACTAAACCAATTGCATAGAGAAAACAACTGTTGTTTCGCTCACCACCACAACGATCTATAAGAACAATATTTTTGATTTTTATTAAAATCTTCTCTCTTTTATCAGACAGACATTATTTATGTTTACATAAATATCTATATATTATATTTGATAATAGATTTCAAAATATTTTTTAGCTCAGTTGGTAGAGCGATAAGTATATGACTTTAAGATGTGGGTTTTAATCCCAGAAAAAGTTTTAGTTTTTAATTTTTACAATTATCAAAAGGACAACGTTTTATTGAATTAAAAAAAATTATACCAAATCGGTGTGTCACGTGTCAACTACGTCATTAATTTTTTACGGAAATCTAACACCGTTAACGGTTTTGGTGGATTTAGCCATATTTTAATATTTCATGTACGTATGGACATGGGTTAATAGTTTTTGTATGTACTTTCAGAAAGTACAAAGTTCGTGTGGAAATCGGCTGTTTTCCGGCGAGATGGTATAACGCACACACATCAAGAGAAAGTAGTATATGTTGTGTGATCATGTAGAAATGTTTCTGATTTGAGGAGGGTGCTACAGATTTCCACTCCGAGACCTCTGTGCGATATATGGGGTTTAGGAAGGACTACAAGAGAGTATCATGAAACTGAGTCGGAAGTACAAGAGAGTTTCACTTCTGACTCAGTTTCAGGATACTCTCTTTTAGTCCTTCCTGAACCCATATATCGCGCAGAGGTCTCGGAGTGGCAACCTGTAGTGCACTCCTCGAATCAAAAACGTAAGAGTGCTTTTCTGCGCATTTTTCTCAATCTCGTTCCTGTAATAAACACAGACTGTAGCCAAAAACTATCGAGCCAAATTAGGAAAGAGATCATACATCCTTTTAGCCATGGTACCTCAACCAATCTTCCCCATCAAACGCAGAAGTTCCTCGTCGATACCCAATCTCCTCATTGCTGCGACATCGAGGAACCTGGTGGGTTTCATCTCAACAGCCAACCATGCATTATAGAAGTGTGTCATAGTCGTTCCAAGTCTCAGAAATCTGTCTGTAGACACACTCATCACTCTTAGACACCTGCTCATGAATACCATCCCAGACTCTCCTAGAAACAATCTTTTGATCCTCTCTCTTGGGCCAAGGAGGCTTGATCTGCACAGCTGGAATCTCAGGAGAGGAATGAGGGGATGGAGATGGTGAGAAATCTGGCACTGCTGGTGCGGGAATTGCTCGTGGTGGTGCAGGGGCTGCCCGAGGGGCTGCTCGAAGATCTGAATCAGAAAACACATGATCCTCATGTGTGTTATCGAACCGAATATTGTAGCGGGTGCTGGATAGAATTCTCCTTACGAACTCTTGGTGTCATAGTGAACCATCAAACGCCTCTACACAATCACACAACATATAGTACTCTTTCGCTGATGGATCTGGTTGTGGGTTAGAGCTCGATGTTCTGTCTGTGTGTTGCTTCTTATGTGAGCACATCTACAGACAAAGACAAGGCAAGTGCAACAAAAATAAAATCCAAAAATCAGTCAAAAATGAAAATCGAAAATTAACGTTCAAGGACTAAACATCACCAGCAACAATCACCAGCATCACAATCATCAACAATCCGCCCTAAATCAGTTCTAGAACCATTCCAAAAGCCAATTTGCGAACCAATATCATCATCAATAATCAAAATTTCCAAAACTTGCTAACAAGCCTAAGAAAGTAAATAGGAGTGTCGAAAATCCACTATAACACCAAAATAGGCAAGAATCAACCATTAAAACGAGTTATAAGAGGCAAAATCAACATCCCAAACCTTAGTTCTCGAAATTGAAAAGAGAGATTTTTGAGGTTCATACCTTGTAGTTCGGAAAATTGTTGGAAGAAATAGAATGAGCACGAAATTCTAATGAGGTTAGACTTTAGAATCACTCAAATCCGTGAACAATTAAAGAAATTAGGTTTTTAGGGTGGTGTTCTTCGTGAATGTTGAGTAGGAGAAATGAGGAAGATGAAGGGTATCAGGGGTTTTAAAAGGGAATTTATCTGGATAAGTGGTGTCGACCGACACCCTGTCGCTCGACATCGACCTTTTGTGTCAGAAACTATTTCTCTTAAAATATATCTCCATTTAAAAAAAAAATACAAAAAATAATAATAATGAGTTGAAATGATGGTGTCCATCGATACCAATAGTGGTGTCGCTCGACACTGACATCTTCGCATCTGAATCACAAAAAACACAAAAATCAAGAACGAAAATCAAAAGAAAAAAAATAATTTATGTACAAATTTACCAATGGGTTGCCTCCCACCAAACTCTTATTTTAAATCATTAGCTTGACTTGGATAGACTATGCATCTGGTGGATCAGACAGTGGCAATGAATGCTTCTGTTAAAATCGTGTCATCTATGGTGGTTTGTAGGCATTGCACATGAGATTGACCAATCAATGTAGGAATACCGCTAGGATGGGATCTGTGTTTGGGCAGCTTTAACAGATTTCCTGCAATATCATCAATGGAAAAACCAAAAGCACTTTGACCACGCAGCCGCGGCGAACAACCCCTTGGTCTACCAAGGCTTGGCCGCGGGTCGGTTGATCACGATTGTGGCCAGCCTTTTTGCGGCCTACTTTTTTCTCTTCAGTTTCTGCTGGGCCGAGCAGTCAGGAACTGACCCTTTTTTTTTTGTTTTTCATTTTTAAAAAAATTTTTTTTGGTCTTTTTTTATTTATAAGAACACCTGAAACTAAGAAAAAACAAATTTAATGGAAAAACAAAGAAAACTTAAAGAAAAGACACATAAATAGGTTGTTTCCCATTAAGCGCTTTTGTTTTAAGTCGTTTAGCTTGACTTTTTGAGAAAAAAACATGCTTGAGGATAAGGTGCTCTTTTCAACGTACATTGAACATCCTTGAGCCTTATTGGTATACCTTCCTCTCCTTGTATTACTAACTTCTTTCCTTTCTCTTTCTGGCGGACTTTAACATTACTTAAGACTTCCTTAGTGCCTTCAATCAGCTTCCGGATTTGTTCTTCACTGGTCTTTGTTAAATCTGGTGGAACAATGATCTTGACTTTTGCAAAAGGCCTTGTCTTGAAGTTTGACATCTCTTTCGACTTATCTTTCTCTTTTGGCGGATTTCCTTTAAGTTTCTTCTTGTCGTCTTGGACTTCATCTCGGACAGTGGGATATAATTTTTTTCTGATCCACCTTCAAAAGACAACATTCCGGTTTTCATGATCTATGACCGCACCAACAAGTGCTAAGAAAGGGCGGCCAAAGATGAGTGGTCTCTCTTTGTCTCGGTCCATCTCAAAAACTTGGAAGTCTGCGGAAACAATCTTGTCTCCTACAAGGATTTGCAGGTCATGAATCGCCCTTTCAATGTATTTTTGAGATGAATCACCAAAGATCACTTTAACAGTTGACTTCATGAACGTCTTTATCCCTAGCTTCTCGGAAAATGTCTTGGATATGATGTTGACATTGGCTCCGGAATAGCATAGACAATATAAAAACTTGATCCCTAAAATGAAACAAGAGAAGGAAAAACATCCCAGATCATTGGCTTTGATAAGCTTTTAAAATGGGTGCTGGGATATCTTGAAAGGTGAAAGCTTGGTTACTTTAGTCTTGGTATCGACACTCTTGTAAAAAGGCACGAAAACTGAGGCCTCCTTGCATTCTTCGTCATTTTTTGCTTCATCTTTGGGCAATGTAGTTATAGCATTGTAGAACCTTTTCGGATTATTTTCAACTCTTCCTAGAAGAATTTCATTCTATCTCTTCTTTGAATCGGCTGTTTGGGCAACTTGAACGTCTAGCTTCTTGACATGAGTAGATACAGCTTCAAATTTTCTGTTTAGGTCATTGGACATACAATCGACTTAAACGTTTATATCCATGGTCAATTTCTCATTTGTCATGACAAGCTGCTGGATTAATTGCTCAAGTCTTCTGATTTGGGAATCTAGTTGATTTGTGGTAACACCTTGCTGTTGTCCATATTGATTGTTAAATCTTGTACCTTGGTAGTTGTAGGGCTGTCGCGGTTAGAAACCTCCATTTCCTGCATAATTTCCATTTTGAAACTTGTTCTGAAATGGTCTTTGTTGCTGCGGTATTGCTGATCTTGGGGGTTCTCCATGTTCAGATTACGGTAAGAGAGATTGTTGAAGTTGGCGTTGCGGAAGTTACTATTCAAAAACATTGTTGAAGCGGCTTGTATATGGTTCTTGTGCTCCAACATAATTGACTTATTCTTCTTGAAAAGATGGATTATTGTGATTTGTCTCACAATATCCTTCATCTTCCATGCCATTGGTGGCTTCACAAGCATGAACTGGGCGATTGTGGCTCTTGAAGAGTTGGTTCATCATGTTCTTCAGCTCGTTAATCTTAGTATCTGATCCAGTTGGTTCTGTTGAACGATCATACTCTGGAAAATCATTGCTATTAGCTTCAGCAAGATTCTCAATGAGGGCTCTTCCTTGTGCTATCGTCTTTTCTCTGAAATCTCCATTGCTGATTGTGTCAAGTGAAAGCTTGTACTTTGGCTGCAATCCTCTATAGAATATGCTTAGCAAACTTGAGCCGGGAAATCCGTGGTGTGGACAATCCCGCTCATACTCCTTAAAACGCTCACAAGCTTCATAAAAAGACTCGACCGGACCGTGCTAGAAACTTTGAATTTTGTTTTTGGTTCGACCTTGACTTAGTATAAAAGTGATTCAGAAAAGTAGTTTTTTGCATTCTTCCCAATTAGTGATCAATCTTGCAGGCAAAGATTTTAACCAACGGTGAGCTTTAGCACTTAATGAAAAAGGGAAAAACAAACATTTCAGATAATCTGCGGGAACTTGGTTAGTTCGCATCATGCTGAAATCTCTTAAAAAGGTTCAATGTGATCCATTGGGTGCTCGACTCCATGGAGTTGGTTTTGTTTCACCAAAGTTGATGATCTGTGGCTTGACTTTAAACTTGTTCCAGTTCAGGAAAGGTACTTGAGTCAAAGATTGATTCTGAAAATTTTGAGTTGGTGCGTCAAAGTCAGCTATGACGCGGGTTTGGGCTTGTCTCCTTTGTTGATTCGCGGGCTGAATGGGATGGTTGTTGCATCCATTGGGCTGCACGCCGCAGTTTTTGTTGTCGGCTGCATTCCTTGGTGCTACAACATCAGCACGTTCTTGTCTTCTCTGGTCATTGGCCTTGCAGTTTTGAGGGTTTTGTGGATGGACTTGGTTTCCATCATCATCGGCGGTTGATCATCTCCCTCCTGATCATCCTCTCGGTCATCGCCATGATCAAAGTCGTCATGGCCGTCGTTTTGGTCATCAAGGTGGCAGTTTAAAGGATCTCCAAGATGGTCTTGTTCATCGGCCATTCTTAACAGTCTCTAAGTCTTCAAAGTTCTCTCTCGAGTCTGTCAATCTCGTCTAGAAGTGGCACGGTTGCTGCAAACTTGCACCTAGTAATCATGCACCTTTAAAACACAAAGAAAAACAAAAAAAAAGGAAAGAGATGTCAAAATTTTTAAAAGGAACTAGAGATCAAAGTGTCTAGAACAGATATTATAACAAGAAAATCAACAGGCAACATATCAATTGATTCCAGCAACGGCGCCAAAAACTTGATGTGAGGTATGGGTGTTTCCTAACAAATTTTATACTAAAATAAAATAATGAGGCTGCAAGTGCACAGTTGATCGGTTGTGTACTTAGGGGTCGAATCCATAGGGATTTGTGTGCCTAGTGTTTTCCTACAATTCCTAAATTTATGTCTAGACTAATCTGGTTTGAAGAGGTTTTGTGTGTCACGATCTAAACTAAGAAAATTAGGCAAATGAAAACTATCTAAGAAAGCAAGTAAATATCAAGATTGTAAAGCAATAATAAAAGACGATGGGCTTTCAGGAATTCTCTAGAGGATGTAATCGGTTTCAAACAGCTAAGCTTTTAGATTGGGTTTTTTTTTGGGTGATAAGAATATCTAAGGGTTCTAAAGCTAGAGTACAGGAGTATGACTACGTTACTTTCGTGATCATAACCAACTGCCACGTACGACCCTGACCAGTAGCTTTCGTCTCTGGCCCCGGTAACAGGTGTACGCAATAACTTGCACAAGACTCGTCTATACTCAGGATTCACCCATAGGCAGCATTTGTCTCCTATGACAGAATCGCTCGTTTCATTCTATGTCAGAAACAGAATGAAAACTATCGCAACACTAAGTACCTAGATCAGACACTAGATGATCAACCAAGCATACATGCCTTAAAAACAAGAATAAACGAAGAATATAAATAAAATCACAATTTTAAAAACCTACACGTCTTAATCGATTATGAGAGCCCCTACCCTATGCACAACAAGGGATCTACTCAGACATAGATGAGCACGACATCATCATGGGTTTTAATGAAAGAAATAAAAACATTAAAGAAAAAAAGATGAAGAAAAGCTTCTCTATTGTTGGATCCAAGGTTGAGAAATATTCTCTACAAATCGATAAAAATGGCTAAGGAAATTGTCTCTATCTAAAGCAAGAAAAAGATATCTAAAAATAACCTAGAAGACAAGTATTATAGTCTTCAATACTACAGGACTTCAAGGACTTCAGAATTAAGGTCGGGGTTAACTTGGGCTTTGAAAATGGGTTTCTTAGGACCGAGGTTAGCCTGCCGCGATCGTATGAAGCGTGACCGTGGGGAATGGCTGCTTGGCTGCGGTCATGCTATGCTGGCCGCATTGGATGGAGGTCTGGCCGCAGTCACAAAGCTCCGAGGTAGCTTCATTCGCCTTTGGGGCAATTGGAATATCTTGAGATCCAACCATTCGAATGTCGTAAACAAATTGGACGTGAAAGCTGGTTGAGTCTTCTATTAAGTGTCTAGTTTTGGGAATGATCAGACGGTGAGAAGGTCTTCGTTTATTCTTGAGAGTTCTAATGGTTTGAATTTATCCAAAAGTGCTAATTAGTTCTAATTTGCACATTTTTCTCCTATGTTACCTAAAAAGGTTTTTAAAATCCAAAAAACATAGAAATCATTTGAAAATCTTTGAAAACGGAGTAAAAGCATCAGGATTTTCTTCCTCCAGTAACAGCATCAGGATTTTCTTCCTCCTATGTTTCCTGCAATACCTGATTACCGATAGCGTCTTATGTGACTTCCACATCTTCCTTTGCATATCCATCTGACAGGTCTTTAGCTCCTTCACCCATTTGCAACTCTTTCAATGGCTCTTCCTCTACAAATTCAGTTTTTGAGTTAAGCACTGAATCTCTACCACTTGTCTACTCTCCTCTTCTCTCTTTTCCTCGACTTTGAGAAAATCAACTCCATTTACCTCAGAAGCTGAAAGGTCATGCAAAGGAGGCTCTTCTTCAATGGAAACTTCTTTGTTTTCCTCAAGCTTATCTCCTGAAATCGAATCCTTTTCCTCAAGCGGAAAAGAGAAGTGGTTGCTTTCTGATTACAATCACTTATAGAATCCAATCTTGGAGGGTCACTTGAATTGAAAAAAACATTGCCCTGTTCAACATAAGAACCAAGAGACTCCATTTCCTTCTCAACATCCTTTAAATCATCAAAACTGTTTTGATCACATCCCGAGGAAGACCACATTGAGATATGGTACTTCAGAAACTAGTAATAAGTACCTGAGAAGCCAAACTGTCCACCTCCACAAGAATTGTTTCCAATTTACGATAGATTTTATCATACCATGCTCTTCCTATAGATTTTGTATTCATAGCTCACTCACACAACGAGAATACTACTGTAAAAGAAGAACCAAATCCCAAATAAATACCTTTGTGAAAAAGATCATCATAATCATAGATTCCAAACACAAATGATAACAGGATGGTTTTAATATAAGAAGCTGAAAAGCAATATCTCAAATTCGAAACAATTTATATACAAAGATACTTTATCAGATAAAGATGATGAAAACCTAAGAAAAAAAAGAAAGAATCTTAGCAGTTTGATCTGAAAATGGTTGGAGCTTTTATTGTTACAAAATACCAGACAATTCTAGTGAATTCGTGACAAAGACGACAACAAAGAAAAAAATAACTCTTATGCCAAATTACATGAAGGAAGAAAGCCAGAAAGAAGAAAAAAGACAAATATAAATGAAAGAAAAAAACCCTAATTCCCAACCCTAATTAAAGCAGTATAAATGAAAACCATCAAGCAAAGAAAAGAGAGAAGAACAATCAGAGTCTTTTTTTTTCCTCTCTAGTCTTCTTCTCTTTTAGCCTAAGCGGATTTGGTCGAATGGTTGTTGGACTGTGTGGGATGTTACTCAATTCCACCTGGTTTCAATCCCTATGAGAAACTAAAAACACATTTATTAGGGAAGTCTGGGTTTGGATCAAATGCCCATACAATTTACCTGGTAGTTCGGTAACAGGCGATCCAGCCACTTCCTGACATTAGTCGGAAGACATTTCAAACTCGATATAGGTAGTACCCATTTGGATCTCATGAATTTCATGGCCCGTTGACCCGAGCCTGCTCGATGCTCATGATGTCCATTGAACCATTGAAGCAGGACAATCAGTCCATACTATAGCACTTTGGTGCATTCCTACTAAAGCTAATAGGGTTTATAATATATATATATATATATATATAACAAAAAAAAATATTTATCTATTAGGTTATTTGGACCTGATTTGTAAGGATTGTTGGGCCGATTATTTACTTAAGCCATCTGAACTTAGTTAAATCAAAATGTGTGAAGAAAATTGGGCTATACTGGATTGGCGGAGCTCATTTTGGAGCTGGTGATCGTCGGGTCGGGTTGTAAAAAAAAAAAAAAAAATGTGTTACCATGTAGGACACTTTTGAGTTTATAATGTCCAAAACAGACACTTTTGAGTTTTAATTACCAAAAAAGATACTTTTCTACTATTTGGGCACTGAAAATACCTAAAAACCCATTTTCATTAACACACAATTACTCATCTATATTCTTTATTTATTTAATATTAAATTAAAATCACACATCCTCTATAATTGTTTGTTGTTATTTATCTATTATTTAAAAAATAATCGAATAACTATTTTGATAATATAAATTATATAATTTTTTCTTAATACTTTGATACCCATTTTATATTTTTTAACCTAAATTCTTTTGTCGTTTAGTGATAAACACATACGTATCCATATAATAGCGTTCACGTGGACACAAATATATAGATATCTATGCAGTTTTATATATATATATATATATATATGCATATCCACGTACATATAATACAGATGGATGTAACTATATAGATACACATGTATATTTATATGTGTATCCATATAGTTACATACATATAGGTGAGTCTCGTGTGATTTAGTGTGTGAAAGCTTATGAATTAAGATGGGTCCCGTGCGATTTAGTGTGTGGAAGCTAATGAGTGAATTTACGTTAGTCATGTATGTTTTAATATTTTTCTGTAGGTAAATAGAAGATAAAAGAAAAATGAGGACAAAAAAGTAAAATAATAGGAGCAAAGTAAAATAAGTGCCTCAATTCCAAAAAATTTTTTTTTTACATTACGCTTTGAAAAAATGTCTCTGTAGAGAATATTCTAAAAAAAAAGAAAAATAAGCCTTGAGTCTCCTTTGTTTCACGATTCCTTGAGAATCAGTTTCTTTGGAGAGATCCTTGCCGTTGTTGCCCACCTTCCTAGTTCTCCATG